GGAGGAGGGGGAGGAAGGGAGTCCCCTTCACGCAGCTGCTCATTGGGAAAACACCCCTAAAACCCACAAAGAATTAACTAGGGAGAGAAGGACCATGGGACAAAGACTTTTTAAAAGCAAAGCCTGGTGCCCTGCTCCTCTGGGAGTGTCTTTTTCATTGCAAACCAGTTGGCATTGCCACATACGTAGCTGGTTTGAGACCAGTTACCTGGGTATTAGACACAGCTGGTTTTCCATAAGATGGTCTCTCCAGCTCAGGACAACCTCACACGAGTGAGCTGCTCAGCAGCTTTTAGATGCTTTTTGTTAACCCTTGGCTCTTCCCCCACAGATCCACCCTGAGCAGCTCACTGTACCTCCGCTTCCTGCGCAAGTGCAAATCTGTTTCTAAGCACAAGCACCACCAGCGCCACATAAAAACTTCACACCGTGTGCAGGGAGAAAGGGCATCAGTAAATTTGGGAAGATGAAAAGGAATGGGAAGCACAGAGACTCCTGTAGAGATCTCACCATGAACCAGATCCACTGCTCCCATCCTGTGTGTCAACCAAATCACAGAATCACAGAATGACAAAGGTTGGAAGGGACCTCAGGAGATAATCTAGTCCAACCCCCTGCTCAAGCAGGCTCACCCAGAGCAGGGTGCACAGGACATCAGCCAGGCTGGCTTTGAATATCTCCAGAGAAGGAGACTCCACAACCCCCTTGGGCAGCCTGTTCCAGTGCTTGGTCACCCTCAAAGTAAAGAAGTTCTTCCTCATAACCAACTGAAACCTCTTATGTTTCAGTTTGTGCCCATTGCCCCTTGTCCTGTCGCTGGACACCACTGAGAAGAGTCTGGCTCCATCCTCATGACACCCACCCTTAAGATATTTGTACGTGTTGATGAGATCCCCTCTCAGTCTTCTCTTCTTCAGGATGAACAAGCCCAGCTCCCTCAGCCTTTCCTCATAGGGGAGATGCTCCAGTCCCCTCATCATCCTAGTTGCTCTCCTGTGAACTCTTTCCAGGAGTTCCTCATCTTTCTTGAACCGAGGAGCCCAGAACTGGACCCAGTGCTCCAGGTGGGGTCTCACCAGGGCAGAGTAGAGGGGAGGAGAACCTCCCTCGACCTGCTGGCCACACTCCTCTTAATGCACCCCAGGATGCCATTGGCCTTCTTGGCAACAAGGGCACATTGCTGGCTCATGGTCAGCTTGTCGTCCACCAGGACTCCCAGGTCCCTCTCGGCAGAGCTGCTTTCCGTTGGACAAGACCTTCAGGCCCCAATTAGCCAACCCTTTACCTACAGTCACAGTTTTGTGACCTTCGCTGAGTTGTTGGGGAAAGAGGTGAAATTACATTTGGAGTAGAAAAAAACAGGTTTTTTGGTATTTCTTATCAACCAAAGGAGCTGGGCTTTTTTTTGCTGGTTTGTTTTAGCGTGTTTGTTTTAGTAGGAATATCCGTTTGTTTTGAAATGTGACATGCAGAAGAGAAAATCAAGGAAATCCGTGAGAAGCAGGCCTGCCTCAGGAGCACTGGCACACCCCAGCCCACCGACCCGCTCCCCGCTCTTGGGGCAGGCACAAAGCAGCGTGCCCCAAAGAGCCCTCCCTCGCGTTTGGAAACGGCCCACGGTGCCAACTTAGCTTCTCTGCCCTTGTAGCACAGAGGATTTCAAGAGGAGCACGTCCCTTTAGAAAACACAATTTGTGTTAATGAGGAAAAAAAGCATTTTTTTGAGGTGAGACTCACAAGACCTTTGCAACACCTTGTGCCTCTATGGTGTAGAGCACATAAATATTTAGTGTCAGTCAACTTTCCTGGGAGGAGGTTATGTTGGTCTTTATTGCCCCCTCCTCTCCTGCAGCCCGCAGACCATGTGCTGGCCGTCGGATCCAGCATCACCATTTCTGTCAATTTGTCTGTACCAGACATCGCTTCTAGGGTGCCGCTGCCTCTGTCATTTGAAAAGTCCTGGCTCTCTGGTGGCAGTGGGCTCCGGGCCCACCTGATTGCCTCCTCTCATGGGCTGCTGTGAAACTTCTCTGGTGTTTCCCAAACCCACTGGGTACCCAGAGACAGGCTCCGGGAGAGCAGGAGGAATTTCACGGCCAATACTCAGCAGTTTGAGACCCCACCTGGGAACCGCTTGCTCTCACTCCCCTCCAAGCCAGTTGGCATCCAGGAAACCATCTTGTTAATTCCTTTTTTTTTTTTTTTTTTTTTTCCTCACACCTTTCATCTGCGGATCTGAGTAGCTCGCTGATGCAAGCAGTTGTGACTAACACCAGCCCCATCACATCCCCATCACGATCCTTCACTCAATTGCTCACCCGATTCCTCTTTGTTTCAGCAGAAAACTGTGTTAAAAACCTCAAACAGTGAAATCCTTACATCCTTGTCTGATGCCAACCAGTCAGCCTCTCTTACAGTGACAATGAGCACGTAGAAGGACTTTTGTGCTTACCAAATGCCAAAAACTCGAGCACTAAACGTTTAAAGCATTGCTAAAAACACCCGAATTAAGGTCTTTGGCCTGAAGGGACCATGTTATCAGTCGCTTCTCTCTGAACGAAGGCTGGATACCACAGACATTTTCCATTCTGAAGGCAAGCAACGTGTTTGCAAACCGCGCTGGGTTTAGTATCCTCTCTGTCTGCCTGGGACATCGTCCCGATCTTCCGCTGTAAAGACACAATCGTACAATGGTTTTGGAAAAAAGGCAGCCAGGCAAATAGTTCTTGTCAGGAAACCGCTGACTGTTTGTACGCCTACCCGTGACGAGGAAGAACAAGAAACCACCAGCCAAACTACAGAAACAAAAAGCACAAGCAGGCACTTTGGACAGGGTTCCTGGGAAGTACATTAAAGCAGTTTTCAAACCAAATTTGAAATCTGCATTAGTCATTTGTGGCCAGCTCTAAAGTAGCCAAAGATGTTGCAATTGAAGAGGAAAGAAAGTTGACAAATGCTTCTCACCACAAATTTACGCACTTGATTTTAACGTAACAGTCTTTAGTTCTGTAACTTCAAGACTATAGAAGGGTCGGCCTTGTGAGCTGCCAGTCGAAGTCTATTTGCAGGACTGTTTCTGGGCATTCTGTAACGAAAATGCCACAGGCAACATCTAGGTAACACTGACTAGCTCAGCTTTCTAAAAGAAAGACACAGGTGAAGCTCCTCATCGCTGTCTCAGTGCTGAGTGAAAGGCAAACACCAAACAAAACCAAAATTAACAAGGTCATCAGCCTTGTTTCTCATTGTCTGATGTCGAGCTTAATCAGGCTCCTGCACTATTTCCGGACGTGGAAGGGCAGCAGCAATCACACACAGCGCAAGCACTGCACTGGTACATTGAGGCATCTCCATCTTGCAGATGGAGAAGGAAACCATCTGCCTCACCAGGACCACGCCGAGCCTGTGCTGGGGCAGGACCAAAACTCCCAACGGAGGAGCTTTTGGGCAGGCGAACAGAGCCAACCCAGCCTGGGGACCTTTTGCTTTTGCCGCACCGAGGCAGCAACCGCCACCGGCTGCTCCCCTTGCAACGCGGGGGACCCGCTTTCCTGCTCTGAAGGGGAAGTGAGGGTTCGCTCCTGCCCGCTTCCCCCGGTGTTTCAGCAGGCTTAAGAGGTCAGAACGGCAAAGGACACGGCTGTCACCTCCTGCCACTCTCCTCCGCTCTGGTCCCCTCAAGGGAAAAAAAAAGAGCTTTGATGGGCTTGTAGGGAGAGACACAGAACAAGGCACTGGTTTCTTTCTGTCCGGAAATATTTCAGCACAGCACAACTTTCCCGACTGACCCATTTTATAACACATACCGCGTCTCTGGCCAGCATGAGAATTAAGAGCGTTTCAATTAAAACAAAAGTGTGTTTTTAATCAAAGCAAACTATTTCTCGTGAGCATTTGTGCGCTATTTGAAGAAGTACGCTGAGGTTATAGCCTCCGAGTTCAGATCTCACACTCGATACGAATTCTGCACAAACGTAACCTCGCTGCTTTTTGCTGGCTAAGGAGAAAAAAAAACGAGTGGAACAACAGAAAGGAGGTTTCAGTTGTAAGATTTTTTTTTTTTTTACTGTACAAAAAGGAATAGAAATGCAGGTTAAATGGAGTTCACGGGAGCCTAATCTTTAATTAATCTTTGAAATAAATGCCTGACCTCACACATACTTTACAGTTAAAACTCAACATTCCTGCAGGCAGCTTTGCTGCCTAATCCCAACAGGCTCCCTCCCCCCCTTTTTTTTTTTTTTTTTTAAACTAAATACACAATCTTACTTAAGTTCATTCTCTCAAATCATTGAACAAACAGGAATTATACAAAAGGTTTCCTTAAAAAGACATGCCTCAACAGAACCACAACGCAGTGTGTTGTGCTGAGCATCCGGCGTGGTGTAGTCTCCAGTAATAACATATGCTTAGCTGGTGGCAGTCTTGAACATTGTACCGTAGGAGATGAAAACTCCAGGTCATCGGCTTCTGCAACTCTGTATGCATTTGTATGAAACATCTTTTACATTGTACTTCATGGCTGTGAAGAAAAGCTGCAAAGCTGAAGCATTCTGTGGTATTGTCAGAGGAGAGAAGTCTCCAAACCACAGCACCAACCGCACAGCTGTGTTGAAAAAGCTCCCATCCCTCTTATTTCTGGGCCTTCTTAACCACGGACCCGCTCCTACCCATCTGCTGAGCTCCCACTAGGATTCTGGTGAATTCGGGGTGGGTGTTCCTCTGCGCACAACTGCTGGTTAAAAGGGACGCACCGCCCTGCGCTTCACTCGGCTTTGCCTGCCCCGCAGGTAACTTTTAACACTCGCTTCAGACCGGTGTTTGAAGGATATGCCAGGAAAAAGAAAAAAAAAAAAATTATTTTGTATGCTGGGATAGCCCACAATCTACCCTTCCCCAAATGACAAGTGAACTAAGTTTCATGAGCCGTTCCTTGCTCTCAAAAATTTGGTCAAAGGCCCTCAAGGGTGGAATACTAAAGTATAGAAGAAAAAAAAAAAAAAAAAAACAACCCCAAGCACATATCGCCGCTTTCTACCTGAATGTGACACTGAAAGTTGATAGAAAAAAAAATAATTTTAACTTGCAAATTATGAGAAGTGCACACTAGCTTTAATTGAAATCATAGATAATAATAATGAGCAGTATGTCCGCTGAGAACTGTTTCCCTGAGAAGCTATGGGCTGCCCCTACCTTCCTGGGAAAAAAACAAGTTAAAGATCTGGCAGCAGAAAATAAACTCCCAAAGGCTGAGGAGCCAATTATTTAGTGAAACAGAAACAACACACACACACACGCGCGCGCACGCTCTCCCTTACTCTATACGCACGCAGGTAGCTGGTCTCGTTCTGAGTTTCGCTGCCTCTCGTTTCCAGGCCCAGTTTGTTGGCCTATTTGTTTGTGGTTAGAAGCCTCCTGCAGAGAATTCTGCAAGCTAGAGATTTTTACCGCACGTTGAAGATGTACGCGCTTTCTTGCTTGCACGTGCTTCCCCCTCACGCTCTCCATGCTGACGTCTTTTTTTCCAGAATAATCCGGTTGTTTTGACTATTCTCCTTCAATGCCCTCTGTTGCTGTAAACATCTCCCCGTGAACTTGGCGGGTACTGTGCACCCCGTCACTTCACTTTCCCCATATCCCCTGGCATCTCTGACCGCTGTCTCTTAATACAGGGTTGGACAACGTGCTCTGCCTACATTTCACCTAAAACAGGTCCTGGTTCATAATCCTCCTCCTATGGACACCAGAAATACAAAGACAACCTCTGTGTACATTTTGGGTCAGAAATGCAGCCTCGTCTTCCATAAAGAGTAAATAGGGGCTAAATTAGAACAAGGCAAAGGTAACAGGTTGTGTAAGACCAGGAACCTTGCCAGGTCAGCAGGGCCTTAATGACAATCAGCACAGGTTTAACTGAGAAGTCAGCAATCGACGGCACACAGATTTTGAATGGTGCCTTGGCAGCGCTGGGATCTGCAGCACCTTCAGAGAGGTCCCCACCTTGCAGCTCCGGCTCAGACAGCACCTGGGCTCCCTGACCAACACAAGGCAAGAAGCCTTCCATAGCGTCCCCGGCCTTTCATCTGCATTCTGCAACTGTTTGGAGCACCAGAGCGCAGTTTTTACCAAAGACACTCATGTAGAAACACTTTCACAACTATTTATTTTGGTCAACGTTGTAACATGTATCATATCTTAGTAAGACACAAGGAAAGAGAATTCTAAGGACTGAAAAAAAAAAACCCATTTAGGCAAGCTAGTCCATTTATTGAGCCTCTGTCAACTAGGGTTGGATTAACAGGGGATAAAAGAAAACACTGAGCCACATACAAAATAAGTATTGAAAATAACATAAAGTTCCCTTTAAACAGATAAAGGTTTCTGGGGACAAAGGTTAGAAGAGATAAAATATATTCTAGTCAGAAGAACGTGCCTCGGGTTTCTTAGAAAAATTTTCCTGGAGAAACAGATTCTCTTAAAAGAAACAATTTTTCATACAGCATTACATTTGGAAACTGAACCATTCACCGAAGGAAAAACCCGTAAGGGAGAGAAGGTTTATATTTACATACAGGACAAAAAATACGAACCGTTAGCTGGCCGTTCACTTTACATTAAAGTTTATACCATTAGTGTGGGTGAGCTACCGAACAGAGAGCTCCGAGTTTCTCACAACGTTACACTACTGGGGGCTCTAGGTGGACTGCCGAACTGTAGACACCTTAGTTCTATCGATCGGGACGGAAGCTGACAGCACTGGGTTTGACAGATAGCATTTTCATAGCGCACATTTCCTTCGAGGCGAGTTTTTATATGAACGGACACAGTTTTGCTCTTAGCCTCTCCATTCTCGTTGGAAGAAGACCCACCATCTCCTTACTGAGTTCTAGTTCAGTTTCAATGGCCCGGGCAGCATCTGGGTACTTCTCACAATAGTCTACCAGAAATGTGTAATACTCCAATGATGTCTGCATATTTTCCAGTTGCTTTTTGCTATCCGAAGTAATAAGCTTACCATAGAGTCGTGCAATGTGGAATTTAGCCACCATTGCAGGGCGAAGAACATCTTCCTCGAGCTCTTCAGGAAACACCTGATCTGGGTTCCTCAAAGAATCTAAGAAGAGTTCATAATATTTGATCGCTAACTGAGCCAGAGAATTAATTTTTTTAATTGTGTGGGAGTCTAGCTCCTCTAACCTGTTACCAATAGCTACCTTTAAATCCATCATCTCGTAATAGGTGTCGGCTAGTTCAAACTGAAGCTGCCTGCTAATCAACAGGTAGTACTGGGGATTCAAGTCTGCACATATAGGCTCCAGCATGTCTATTCTTCGCTTGTGCATTTTGCAACGTCTCTCATAGTCTTCTTCAAAGAAAGCAAGTACCTTAAACAAAGCACTGTGATCCTGAACAATTTCAATATGGTCAGTAACGTAACCGTCAACCTGAAAGAACTCTTTTGCTTCCTGAACATAGTTCTGACCAACTAGGAAGATTTCTCTGGCTTCTTGAAAATCTAAAGGATACACGCTGCTCACTTTCTCTTCCATGGCTAAGACAGAGTCACATATATCACTCATCCCAAAAAGGACAGCTTTTTTCCTGCCCTTCTCTTTTTCATCCTCCTCTTTTCTCCTTTGGGCTTTAAGTTCCAATTGCCTGTCTGGATCCAGTTCTCCTATGTTATCCTGAAATGGCAAAACATACTAATTAAAAATGCATATGAAGAGTGGCTTACACGGAATCACTTTATTTATGAGTGACCTTTGAAATACAAATTGGTTAGCAACAAGACAGAAGAGAAGGCACGTTGGCATATCAGACCTTATAGTCACAAAATATCCTGTAAATTACATTCTGTAAAAACATTAAGACTAAGACAATTTAGTCGCCCTACCCTGTGTGACAATATAGCCAAAACAATAAACGTAAAGCCCAAAGGCCCTGCTTCTGCAAAGCATTTCAGAAAATGCTGAGTTTTAACCATTCAAATGAATGACCAAATGAATGAAATGAATGCCTGAACGAGTCAAGGCTTGAATGAATGAGAATACCGGCACACAAAGCTGTTGTACATTAAGACGTTCTTACTAGCAATTAAATAAGAAGCAATCTGCCAAATCAAGCTGCAAGGAAGAGCAGCAGAGAGTAGAGAAATGTGTGAGGTTGCCACACAAGCAGTGTACTGATCACACTACAGAGCCAATCTCTCATCCGTGCTTATTTTTAAGTGCTGCAATAGAGTCAAAGCATACCATGAAACACCTGCTACCTTGCAAGCATCTATCGTATTATTCATTGGGCAACTGTTGATCATTTGCTACCAACCATGAATTGATTCCTGTTACTAACACCAAAACAGACTTTGTTTTTAAACAGCAACAGCAACAGAAGAGATTTTCTGTTACCTCAAGTAATTTCCGAGCGCTCTGCAGGAGATTCAGGCAATACTTAATCCAGCATCTTGCAATTTCAGCTTTTCTCCGTCGAAGGTCCTGTTGGTCTTGCTCCGTTTCATCTATTGAACGGACATAAAGACACAAAAACCTTGAGAGAAGTCAAGCACTCCAGCGAGAACCTCAAATGTTACATGCAAAGACTACGTTACTTGTATTTGATTAATTTTTCTTCATTTTTAGACAGAAACATGTCCTCAATGTTAGTTTATATAACAATTCTGTAAACTGTCATTCAGGTAGAAAAAACATATAGATTAACATGGATTTGTCATGCATGAATTCTTCCAAAAAAACCCAGACCATAATGCATGTTTAAAAAGACCTTTGATCTTGGAGGTGTTTTACTGGAAGAGATCTTCATATCTCTTTTTAACAAGAGAAAGAAATCAGGACAATTTGTTGTCTGAGATTCAGCTGCCTGCCCAGTAATTGTTTCTGAGGATGATTAGGGCATTTGTGTCGCAACGGGCCCCAGACTTGCTACCAAAAAAGGGAACAACAGTAGGGGAAACTGCCTTTGGTTAATCTACGACCTGGTACCAACACGTAAGATTTATTAGCTCTACAACTTCTGTATTTTTCTCCCCACAGACTCCTCACTGTTACAAGTGGCAGCACTGCTGATGTCTCAAGATAACGTTTTCAGAAATGGATTTCAAAGAGAACTCATTTCCCAGTCTCTAGGCAGAGGGCAGCAAGTCAGCTGAACAACGAGGGGATGCTAGCATTCCCGCTCGCCAAATAAAAAGCCAACTTCAGACTCAGATCCACTGTGTTCATTATCTTTCGTGAGAGCCAATCAAGTTGTCCTTATTAAGGAAATAAGAATCGGTGCTAATCTAAGAAAAGGCACCTTTATTAATGATCTGTGTGTTTGTTTATATTCTGATTAACACAGTAAAACGCATGTGCTTGAGAGCAGCCAATGCTGACTGCGTGTTAGTCTTCCTGTAAGTTAGAACTTTCTGCATAATCATCTCCAAGTCCACAGCTCAGCTCTCTGTACCGTGAAAAGGAAGGGGAAATAGGATAAATGTTTACTCCGCTGAAACAAACACAAATATCCTACTCCCATTTGGTGTAGGAAGAAGTCAAGATAGGAGAAGTTAGTTGATCGAAAATCACACAAGAAATCTATAAAATACAACTAAAAATAGGACATTTATCTACCATTTGCACCTGAATTGCACCTGAATTTGGAACCAAAAGTGACCGTACCTTTCTATACGCCTACCAAAAATCATAACCTCATCTTTTGGCTTAGTTATTGCATTAATGAGCACTGACAACTGTGCAGTCAGGCAGCTATGGAAGCCCATAAACACAGATTCACACCTATTGATTATTTAATAATATCCTGTTTTCAAACAGCCCAACAGATTAGCATAACCTGACTCCTGACAGCCCTGTTTCCCTGAAACTAAAAAGCTTTGGGACATCATCCTCAAAGTACTTAACAGTAAGAAAAGCAACTGCATAGAGTTCTATATTTCTTGAGCTAAGAGAAATACTAAAAGCCATTAAAATAATGTACTGTCACTGAGCTTCAATTAAATAAAACTCAGCCATGTCTATTCAGCTTATGTTTTAACCTGAAGTAACAACATCAAGTGGATTAAAGAACTTGTGTTCTAAACAGCTCAAAACATTAAAAGTTAACCAATATATTCACTGTTCAAAGTCAGAGTTACGAACTCACCGCAGGGACTACCCTGAGCACTTGCTCATTCTTTACAAGTTAAAGCTCTATTGATTCAAAGCTTTCAGTTGCCCGAGACACGGAATGTAAAAGGCTGTGCTGTAGATAAGCAAAGACTAAGCCTAAACCAGAGGTTTTATGCACCGAGTACTGACACTATCGTGTAACCACAGGTCCTTAAAACTGTGGTCAGTTCTCTAAGTTTCTTTGCGCTGAACCACAAGGTTGTTCCCTTGCATCAATACCCAAAACAACAAGGAGGGGAGCTACAACTCCAAAAATAGCTGTTAATGAAGCTGCAGCATCCGGCAACAAAAGACAATTCAAGTTAACTCCTGGATCTGGGGTTTTTTAAAAAAGAGCTGCAGTTTCCCTCCCTCTTTTAGAACTATTCCCAGGAAGCATCTGGTTTGGTTCATTGAATCACTGCCCTCTGATCACAGAAAAGCAAAGGTAAGCTGCGTTTTAAGGACAAGCACAAGGACAAACGGGTGAATAGAGACACTGCCCCTACTGAAATGGATAGAGTTTTAAATTTCACTTTTATTCTGGTGTGCCTTCTGGAACACCAGCAAGAAGCACTTGAGTTTTTCCTCACAGGGTTTACTCATAGCCAATCCTAAGTTGTCGTAGCAGCTCTTCGGAAACATTCCACTTCATTGTTAATTAAAAAGATTTTAGAAAATTAACACTGTGGTAAGTTTTGTACATACTGCTAGACTTCACTTCTAACATTCTGTATCAATGCTGCTTAATTCACAGTATTTTATTCAAAACTTTTAGCTGAACTTACTGTCTTCAGCAGATGGCACCTGTCCAGCTTGGCTAAAGATGACACTGGCCGCTGCTAAACAGTGTCGGGACTCCATAAAGCATTGCTGAGAGAAACAGAAACGGCAGTGGTTATCACTGGGATAAGCAGCCCAAGCACTGCTCTCAGCGTGGCTAAACCCCTCGCCTCAGTTAGCAAAGATACACAAGGGGAATTCTAGAACCGAGAGGCTCTGGAGCATATTCCCCTGGACACTGGAAGAGAAGACAATTTATTTTTCCACGTCTACTACTGAATACAGCAATTTCTAACCAACCATTTTCTCTGTACCACAGCCACAACAGCAAGCCTCGCTTTTAATACTAGATACGCGCATTGTGAACATTTTCACTGTTCTGATCTATGCTACCACCGCTTCCTTGCGGTAAAGGAAGTGATGTCTTGTGGTAAAGACTGTATCACGAGGTGTTAAGTCAGAATGAGCTGGACATACAAAGTCAACATTATGAGTCAGATTTAGATTCCTTTACTCATATTTGGCAATGCATTATTTAATGATTAGTGCCATCAATGCATCAAAGCGACATGGAAATGACAAGTGACGATTGAGATTAGCATTAGCCGTCTTAGGTATGGCAGAAGCCTTTTAAGCATCAGAAAAGAGCATCTGAAGAGTCTGGAAAATAGAAATTCTTAAATAAAACTGAAGCATTTTTTAACATAGTGGATTATTTAGAGTCAACACAGATGTGTGGAAGCAAACAGCTACCATCTTACGCATTCACTTTAATGTTCACATAGGCTCAAGTCTTAAGCACTCGCTTAACGACAAAGGGCAATAATTTATAGGAAACATACAACGTGCAATAGCTCAGGCCTAAGATGTTTTTGTTTTTAAACTCTGTATTGTAAGAAAACGATATAAGAAACAATTTAAAATTAAGACATTACTTAAGTTTTACCTACAAGCATCATGTCACATCACTGCTAAGACTTCATAAACTATAGAGCTTTTCTAATGTCTATGCCCCTGCTCCTTTTTCCCCACTGCCATCACACCACCACGGGAAAGAGAAGCCACTGTATCCTCTTCAAAAAAAACTAATAGATGTTTCATCTCAGAAGCCACTTGCGCCTTTACAGGAGGACGTTTTTAACTCACCACAGTACCCTTTCTCAAACAGCTGTTTAAACCACTGTCTTACTTGGCAGTTACATTTCTGATGCAATTTCAGCACAAAAACATTTGGTCTGTTACCTTAGAGAGATAGTACTGGGACAAAGTAGCAGCATTGAGTGCCCATTCTACCGGGTAGTAGCCACAATACTCGAGCTGTCGTTTAAGAGTAGTATGGCAATACTGAGCAGCCTTCTCAATCATCTCCAGGTGTTGGTAGACTTGTGCCAGATAATACAGAGTGTGTGTATAGGCTTTTTCAAATCTGGAAAAAACAAAAGTCTCTTTAGATTTCTTCTTTTTTTCCCCTCCCTAAACACACCCTCATGAATTTAAAAGGTAATAATAGTCTAGGTGTGCTGCTACGCACCCACCTTTTTGATCTTTCTTGGTCTGTGAGTTTTTCTTCTTCTGCCATGAAATGTTCACTGGGATCCAGGGGAGGATTTCCATCCTGCAAGAGTACATGACAGTCAGGAAAATACATTTCTCTTACTTAGCAGCATAGTGCTCCCTCTTCTGGCTGCAGACGATTTACCGCTTTTCAATCCCAAATTCAACACAACTTCACACAATGCAGCTACAGCTATCCGAAGGTCACGTCTCTGGAGCAATTCCACAAAACTAGGCAGATTTAGAGGAAGAAAGCCACGATTCCACCTGGAATTACAAGGTTCTCAGCTTGTAGAAGACTTCTGCTGACATACTTTAATGCTGTCTGCACCAGAAATACTCAACCTGGGTTCTACAGGACTGTAATTGGGTGTCTTTAGTTTGTACAATAACATAATGGGGTTTAAAGCGTCGATTTAATACTAAGCATGCCTTTGAGTGTGAAATATTCGTTTGCCCAGCTGCACTGATCAGTAACGAGAAAACATCCTGCAGGAAGTACTGCAAAGAACATTACGTGCAGAGTGCTCAGTGGACCTGCTGTAACAACTGCTCTTGACTCCCTTTATCCACAAGCTGGCAAGGCTATTCACTCAAATACATGAACGAGACAGCTGGCAACATCTTCGGAGGCTGAAGCTGTTCTAAACCTTGATATAAGGCATGACCTATGTGCAAGTCATTAACAATGTGAACGACTTCATTTAGAAGTGCTTTTTTGTTTTTTAAACCATGAGTTCTGTCAGAATCCTTATACAGAGATAGATCTCGTGACACATACAAAATAGTTTATTGTCCTTGATCGAGAGCAGAAAGTAAGATATTGCTGTGCACACAGAAGTAACTCTGATCTTAAACTTATTTTTGTGCATTCTGTGACATTAGTGTCTGAGATGAATGCAGAACGGTGGCAACTATACATCTTTCAGCAGTGCTCTGTTCAACCTTTCCTTAAAACAACTGCCAGTAAAGTTACAGTCAGCGTAACTGGCAAATCCAACAGATGAACACTGCTTATGGCCAAGTTTTACTCGTCTGTGCTTACCTAATTTCCTTTGTAATTGTAGATAAGTTCAGATGCAGATTCTAACACACTTCAAATGAAGATATCTTTCTTAAAGGCGTTTTTTTACCATTACACGGTGCATCCTGAAGGATGTTCAACGTGTCTGCTAGCAACAGAGCCCAGTTTAGTATGCAATTTTCCTAGTCCTTTCCTAAACCCATTAATATCTTAGCTCAAGAGAAAGTAAGGCAATAAATAAGCAGCAGTCCAGAGAAATATTTTTCATAAGATAACAGGGACTCAAGCAGGGACAGGAGTAGCAGTAGAGAATGCACTAACTTTAAAGGGAAGAAAACCCATGCTCATGTTCATCCTTATTCTCATTAAAAAATCCTGAAAGGATTTGTTTGTTCGCTTTTAATGGTATTTTTAAATTCATTTTGAAAGATGAAAAAATGGGTCTGAAACAGACAGTGACAAATAAAAGTGCATTTAACCTAGCAGAGAGATATAATTTTTTTATATGATCTTTTAATCTTTAGGGTTTCCTGTTTATACCTCATTAGTTTTTAAGTTGTGAATTTCTAACCCTCCACCTTGTTTTCTTTAGAGATACAAAGGCTTACAACCTCACAAAGGCTCCCAAACCTTCCAACAAGAGTTGCAGTATACTCTGGCAAGCCTAGAGCTGATATTCCTGCAAAGAAAGAGACTGAAACGACACAGTAAGCTAGACCCCTGCCTCCTTCCTGTATCTACAGATTTATCATCTGATGTCAAGCCTTATGCCTTAAATCATCCCGAGGAAGAACTCTGCCGCTGTCCTCTTCCATTAGCCCAAGCTCCTGCCCACAGAGTTTAGCACCCTCAGATTTTCACTGTACTGCATTAAACAATCAAACAGCTTTCCTAAGAGGAAGATGTTGTTACAAAAAACCATTTCTTGAAAATAATTCAAAAATAGATGTGAACTCAAAGAATTCAAGACAAGAAAGTAAAAGAATCTTTTAACTCTACCAAAATAATTTTTTTATTGCAATTGCCTTGGTTGTGCTGTAGTTGCTTTGCGGAGGATGGGACACAACCACCACACCCAACCCGTAAGTTAACAAGACCCAGTTAGTAAGCAATTAAATCCACCAGCTCATGAAAACGCCTCAATCACGAACAGTTTACCAAAGATTCCCAGACAGGAAGGCTTCCTGATAGCCTAAAGCCAGGGAATGTTAAGTAAAGTATATTCACATTTTTATAATTTCTGAATGATGAATGTTGACACGGTTGTACAAATCCTAAAGATCAGACACCACTGCAAGGAACTCAAGTCCTCTTTATAAATCATAAAACAGCCAGACAAGCTCCCTCGTACCCTGCTTTGCCTTTTTTTTTTTTTTTTTTTTCTTTCTTTCCGTATTATGTCAAATACAGCTCGGTCTTTTCAGAGAAACACGACACAAGCCCAAAAAAGTTACCAGAGAAACAGTCTTTTAGTGCAGCTGATTTAAAAAAAAAAAAAAAATAAAAAATCTTTAGACTTAAGATACATTTCACTATATAATGCCCTGAAATATAAGTGGCAAATAAAAAAATGTTGCGGAAAAAAAACGTGACAAGTGATCTGATGGGGATTTATTGACCGTCATGTGTATCTACCCTAGCCAGGCAGCAAAGCCCCAGGAGGAATATTCACTAGCTGTTACCCAACAAGGAATACAGATAACTAACAAAAATTAACCCTTTCAGAAAAGCCCACAGTAAAAGTGTGAAGCGTTTGGCAGCATTGTTTAATCCACTGAAATATATGGTAGTACCAGAACAATTCTGTAAACACTGGAGGAAGTGCCAGAATCTTTTAGAGGCAATGTGAAAGCCAACAACGTCATTCTTGGCTGGGTATAAATATCCAAGTTGAACATCAGGAATTAATTAGAGAGAGGGTCTGTAGGGAGATGTAGTCTCTCTAGTCAGACCAACTGATCCAGAGAATGGAAAATAAACAGACCAGCTTTTCAGCACAAGTGGATTTTTTTTTTTTTTTCTTTTTTTTCCCCCTCCTAGATCCACCACCTCTCCTACTGCTGTAGACCAGCATGGCCAGAAAGGCAGTAATACAGCAGGAAGTAACTGATAAAGACTAACCCATTCAAAAACTTCCACAAGAATAATCCATGCTATAAACCAAGTTCATGTAAAACTCAAACTGCAATTTCATTAAACTAACTTCTGTCCAACCTTTAGAGCTGTCCTGAGACACAGATACTGCTCCTTTAAGGCCACAAATGTTTTTAGCTCACTCAGAACTGTGTCCCTGAGCAAGTCAGAGGAGGAAGAGCTTTGCCAAGAGCTTAAAAATAACACAAGGGAGTCTTTGTTGATACATAGCAGAATCCACAACTCAAAAGGTTGTTTAATATGCATGAGAGGTTTTGCTGTTTATAAGATTGTCCTCTTGGATATGGAACTAAACTACTTGCCTCTAGGCAATACTGTGCAGTCAGAGCAAACCATGCAAGTATTACAGTTTTGTTTCCTTTTCCCACCGAAAGCAATGGATTGACATTTCACAGCGTTTCCAAGATAGGGTTCAGAACAGCCTTAATTAAAAGGCAAATTCTACCTGGCTTCACCTTTGGATTATCAATTCAAAGAGCTTTCAAAAAGGACCTTTACTTTTGAGCAAAATTATTTTCCTGAATAAGACCATTTTGAAATTAGCCAGTGATCCTCTAGTTCGCCTCTTCCTATGCTAGCAGTACAAGCCATTTCACTTTTCAAAAGTATCACAGCAGGCAGTATAAAGCTCAGAAACTCAAATTACACCGCATGTTTTTTCAAAGATTACTAAAACTCTAAGTGGCACGTCAAAGGAAGACCTGTCACAATATTAGTAAACACAGTACCTCTTTCATGTATTGATTGTACAAGGCTTCTGCAGATTCCAAGTAAGTTTGCGCAGTTTTAATTTCATCCCTTTCAGACCACAGGATACCTAGATTGTTCTAAAGGTAAGAGGAGAAACAAAATAGTTATTTTCCCATTATGTTCCATTTACATCACACATTTTCTCCAAACAATTTGTCAGTCTTCATCCTTACAGATATGTTCTAATACAATGGATTTCTAAAAGCAAAAATTGCGTCCACCCATTTTTTCACGAGTTGTTCGAAAAGGAAGGTTCTCACACTGCAGCAAATGCCTACAACAGTCACCTAACAAACTGCAGCTTTCTGTGTTTATGCTGCTAAATTAGGATTGGTGTGCTCAAATAACAAGCTGTTTCCATCCAGTATGTTCTGCATCTGATTCATGCAGCTGTATATTGATACACAAACATCACAGAAAGGGCCTCAGAATTAGAAATTTGTCATCATGACTCTATAGAAAAATTTAACAGGACAAAGATATGCTAGGAATGAACGCTTGTGTATTTTCAACACTGGAGAGAGATTAAAAGAACCGTTAGCATGCAAAAGCTATGGATTATTACCTTCAAATTTAAATTACATCAACATACATAGTAACTTGTTACTGCATCTGTGAACCCACCTTTTACAAAAAAGTACCTCTAATTTTATTAATAAAGATGAAGGCATTAGTAACAATCCATATCTGATGTGCTAATTTAATTCCTAGGCAATGTTCTTACAAAATCCAAAAGGTCTTTAAAAAAAAAAAAAAAAGCAGAACTCAAAGTTAGGATGTATAGTTGTGTGCCAGCCCTGTGTCCCTTTCAACTCCATTTATTTTATTATTTTTGATAGAAAGCACAACATAGCATGATGTTTACGAACAGAAATACTTTGCCCATGGCCGAGCAGTGGAACGGATCAAATTTAATTAGACAGAAATCGTCAGATATGTCCTTATGCAGAAGCTCAGAAATTAGAAGTAGGGCTACAGAAACAGGCCCAACAAGAAAAAGGAATGCTCCTTCTTTTAAAACAGAAGTCAGTGCCGTGACAACATACTCTGCACAACCAAGAACATGCTGATGGAGATGCAGGCCCACTGCTGACAATTACTGCTTTTGTATCAGAATGCTTTTGTTAAATACTTCTTTTACAGCCCTGGGGACGGAAAGCTGAGGGCACGCTCAGTTATCACCACTGCTCTCAGCTGCGTGCCTGATGACAGTAGACTTGTCTTCTGTCAGACCACAGCACTTTACATGTGTAACACAGAAACTTTACACAGCTGTTTCCTAAAGACCCCCAAAACAGGGAAACCCACGCAAAGGACAGCATTTGCCCCATAGAGAGAAGCGCTGCTTTCCACCACTCCAGTGCAAAAGCACAGTGGAATCCCTGGCCCTCGGCCACAAAAGCAACAGCTCCCCAGCACCACACATGGGGAAGATGCTATCTTATTTTGACTGGCTTCTCGAGCATCTCCAACCTTGTAATGGGTAATAGATTTGTGGTGGTGCGCCCAAACGGCCACACTGAAGGACAATGAGCAGATGCAACCTCACGAATTCCTGACAATTCAGTTAATTTAACCGATGTATGACAAGTTGCTGTTTAACTAGCATCTTTCCACATGAACACACAATTCCTTGACAGTTTTGCAATGTTTGACAAGGACATACTACCAAGCCTTTTCTAATTAGAGCAGCCATTTTTGACAGAGACATCTAAATAGCTGCTCTATTTCATTTAAAGCCTAGAGACTGATATGTAACTATACATCAGCTGCCACGACGGAGTGGTTGAGCAAAGACCCAGCCTTTCTATGAATCTTCGTACGACAAGGACTGATTTTGTTAACAGTATTACTTTTTTCGGTATAACGCGGTGGATGTTATTACTTCTAGCCCTGCAAAATTGCAGTTACTCATCTGGAATAAAATATAATAGATTAAGAGGTAACAGGCAAGGCTGAAAAGCAAGTAAGTGACAACTTTTGAGAATAACATACCTTTCCAGGATATTGCATGAATAAAAGCACCCCCCAAACTTTACTTTGATAACAAATGACAGTTAAGGAATAACTTCTGGACATACTGAGGTCCTCCGCTAATTTATTCTTGCTCAGTTCTTACAAGTTCTGTCTCAGCCTGTCCTGAAGAGCACACTATCAACACCCAGTGTCTGTGAAGAGGTAGAAGATAGATGCCCAGAGGCATCAGCAGCGAGCTTGACAGAGAACAGCATCCCTCCGCGGCCCTCACCTGCGAGGTATTTCTTCGAGCAGGAAACAAAACGCCAGCAGCCCTGACGGTTAGTATTATTAAACACGCCATCCCCATCAGGGGATGGAAGCGCCATGAATCCCCGCTA